CTGCCATCACTCTCCATCTCCCACGCAACCTCCACCAGAAAATCAACATCACAGTGCACTCTGAAAGACAACAGTTCCGACTAGACAAGAGACTGTTTATAGCAAAAATTATATTATAAACACAGCATGTGGGGTATTATCTTTATAAAAAGATTCACCATAGGCTATAAGCTACAACAATTTGCAAAATGCTGTGTCGTTGTTGTGTGTAATTCATGCAATCTGGAATCTCTTCAAGATGCACTGATGTTGTGTGAAAACATAACAGGTTTTAACTTATTGACTCAACTCAGCAGGCACAGGTCTTTGCTGGACCGCTTAGTTTAATACCTGGCAGGATCTCAAGCGCCGGGCAAGCAGCATGAGAGTGAGCCCAAGCACAGTCCTGTGAGTGGCTGTCTGGCAAATGAACCCATGTGGGACACCGTGTAAGGTGTGAAGACCTCTTGGAGGAGGCTGCAGTCTGCACTGGCTTGCAGGCATGCTCCGGTATCAGGAGAGACAAGGCAAACACAGCAGATCAGTGCTGAAACCGTAAACCCACTGACCCAGCATGAAGGGGGAGAGGGGACTAATTAGTGACTGTACTTACAACTCAAAAGGAGAGGGAGAGAGACGAGAGGGGAGGAGGGAGGGGGGAAGCGCACACACACACACACACACACACAGAGCACGCAGTTGGAGGATGAGGACAATGAGTTTGTTTAGCTTAAACAGGATTTACAAGCCAAACAGACACACGCCAACGCCACTCACTCAGACACATACTATCTCTTTTTTGCTCCATTGCTACCCCTTTCTCTCTCCGCCTGAACAACACAGACACACAGCTGAGACAGGCGCTGTGAGGATTTCATCAGCAGTAAAAAAAAAAAAAAAAAAGTGAGGGTAATTGCTTACGATGGTGAGAAGTCTTGAGTGCAGGCAGCAGCGGTGGGCGAATGGATGGATGGATAGAGGGAACATTTTGTTCCTCCTGTGTGGGCTCCGACTCTCATATTGTTCCTGGTGTCATTTATGATTCAAGAGCCCCAGCTTATCGACGGATGGGAACAGGACATGGCCATTGTGACGTCCCCTGCACTCGTTTCTCAAAGAACATCAAATCAAACATGCATGAGACGGTGACAGGGGTGGGTCGGCAACTTCCCTCTCTGCACTCCGTTTCCCTCTCTTGTCTCAGGAAAAGAAAAAGCACTTAGAAGACTGCGTCTCCCTGATGTTGGGTGAGCTCAAGGTTGAAGTGGTGGCCCTTCAGAAACAGGTTAAGTTGATGTTTTGCCTATATTATACCACTTAAAGAGATATATGTCAACAACATAGCAACTTGCCAAAGACATATTAAACTAGTTTAATACAGAGACTGAAGCCTTGTGAGAAGTGGAATATAACTTTTCCAAAAGCTTTATTTATTCAAGGAGGGTTTCGCTGAGCGCAAACGCTCCTTAAAAGCACCGCCCTGTTTTACACACCTGAAAGCAGCCCAGCACAGCCACAGTTTTCTACAGTTACTGGCCAAACAATGCTGTTTGCTGCTACTTAAGGTTAAATGCAGAGGACTGCGCATTATTCCCAATGACTCTTCTGACTTTCTCAGCCACCTAAGGAGTTTAACCCAACCCACGTTTCAGCCACAAGCCGAACCACAGTGCAAGGTTTGCAGCTTAAAGGGCAGTGATGACAGGCATGTGGCACTGAGGTTTTCTTATCCCTGCGCCTTATGTAGGTCCACTTTTGGCTCTTTATACCAAACTTATGTCATCACAGTCAGTCAGCAGGATGAGTTACATCTGCTGGGCGATTCATTTTCTCTTTATTAGTTACACTGCATATACCAGGTTTCAACTTGAAGAGCGCTTAACTGCAGACTTACGGGTAGAATTCCAACAACGTTTAGGAAGTAGTTAAGTGACTGACACGAGGGCGCAACCTCAGCTCAAACTGAACATTTCAAGTAGTAACTCCCTTTAAGCCCTTATTCTGAAAATTAGACTTTAAAATGTTCTGAGGCAACACAAGTTTTTCGCTTATTAAAAGACCAAAATAGGCACACTGAAAACAAAGGCTCAGTCTAGATGAAAAGTGCTGCCAAGTTGAACCACAAGTGAGACAGAAAGAGAGAACGAGAGACAGAAACAAAGGCTGACTTCTGCTCGGGACACGAGTGGGTGGGTTTGGGCTGATGGCGAGACACCAGACTACAAGAATCCATGTTGAGTGAACATGCAGCAAGTATTTCGCAGCACTCCTCAAACCAACATGAACACTTAGATGAAATGTCAGGCTGTCAAAACATTGATTAGTGTTTGCCAGGTTTTAAGTACTTAGCAGGCTGCAGCTGTGCCGACACACAGTAAACAGCAGTGCAACTTGTTAAATTGCTGAGTAACAAAAAGCTAATTACTCAGACACAAGTAATTAGTTGCCTTTTTTTTCCTGAACATACCTCTAATCAGAATTAGCTCGCTGCTTCACAATGGTACAAAGACTACTCACAACCTAAATGCTTTCTGTGAATAATCCTCCTGAGAGTTTGGAAAATAGCTGCAGGTGTTTGAAACTGATACTTTGTAAATTTGTGACATAACTTGTTGCAGCCTGATTTATTAGAAATTATTAAATGACTAAAGAGATTGTGTTCAGATCTAAAAAAGCTGATAAATACATGCAATATTTTCAAACAGCCATATTGGCTAATACTACTGTGGCTAGAGGAGAGTAATCTCTCCATTCTGTTTGGTTTAGGGAACAAACATACTGTAGCATATAAACATCTTCTCTTCTTCCTCATGTTTAGCTGCAGCTTGTAGCCCTGCCAGTGCATGTGTTGCCTTTCTGTCACTGTTTTGACTATTTTCCCGGCATCATCGCCTTCACATTATGGCGAAGACACAGTCAATCCAGTCTCAGTGAGCACACTTGCATTTACTACCCGGCACCTTCTTAAACCAGCCTTTTTAAAAAAAAAAAACACACAAATTTGATTTCAAAGTGAGTCTACTGGAGCCTTTAGCCTGTTTAGTGAATCAGACACTCTCTTCTGTCTTGTCTCACAGCCTGGCTCGTTGGCTGGTTGCAGAGAGGCCCCAGGAGGGACAACAGAAGGAAAGAAAACTCTCTCTCTCACACACACACACACACACACACACACACACACACACAAGTTTCAAACAGTTGCAGATGGCTTTAATTCCTTGCCCTCTTTCTTTCACAATTTATCAGGTAACCTACTCTGAACAAGCGTGCCTTCTTTTTCATGCTCTCCTGAGATGACTTAGTGCTGCTTCGCCTCGTCAGAAGGAGAAAAAGAAAAAAGTCACTAACAGCACTAATTAATGTGGTGCGGCTGACGAGTGTTGCTGCTGAAACAATTTCATTACATCACCAATTTAAATTGCCAAGGAAGGAGACACTGGAGGGTGCATTCATCCAAAATCTGTTTACACTCTCTCTTAGGCTGACATCCAAGGAGTGGACGCAATAACATGAACACCTGCAATCCAGTGCAATACTCCTGCAATAAATACTGACTGTGTTCAACCTGTAATGTTTAACTATAGTTGAGAATGTGTCAGAATTATTATGAAACTTGGCTTTTAGGTGTTTGAATGATAAGTGATCTGCTGCTGGTGGTGTCAGCATATACACTTGTTATCTTACCTGCACAGTCTGTAAGATATGGCTGGATACAGATACTGCTGAACGTTTTTGCTATCTCATAACTCCACAACTCTATAACAATAGCAAAGGATTGCTGATCTGCTGCTCCAAGTCACGCTCCCTTTAACTTCAGCACCTTACTAACGAGGTTAAAGGCTCTTTTTCACTCCCTCCCAAAAGTTTAGCTTTCCTGTAGCAGGGTGCACGGTAATGAAAGAGCGGCAGCCTCCTCCTCCTACTCTTCCTCCTCCCATCGGGAGCCCCCTTCTCTGCTGCGCTCTGCCCCGGCTGGCCTCATATCCAGATGGGAGGAATTTTTACGGGGAGGGTCCGCCAGACTTAAGGCAGAAGGGCTGCGCTGAGCCAAGCAGCTCATCCACACTCGACTGCAGAAGGGCTAAGAAAAATGTGGTACTGAATGTATGTACACTCATTTGTACTGAAACGTTAAGGGTGTGTGTGTGCAGTGAGGATTTCAGTGCTTGTAAATGGATAGAGAGAGTGGACACTTGACACACCTGAGCATTTTCTAACATTCAGTGCATTAAATTCATTGTGAAAGTAAACTAGTTCTCAGTTTACTAGAGAGACCACTAGAATCCAATTAGGGGCCCTTCAGGATCCCAATGACTTCACATTGGGAGCCACTGGTCTTTGAATGATACATGAGGGGATCCAATCAACACAATCAGTGTTATCTGTGCATCAAGGTGGCGAATGTCACTAAAGCTGCATTACATGGTGTAGTTTAACAGAACATAACAGTCACATACAGACTTGCCTGTATGTTGCACTACAACAGGTAGCCAATAATAGCCTTGAAGGGAGTCAACAAGCCCAGCCACACTGCTGTCTGTTAGCTAAATGACATATACAATCTCAGTTAAGCATCAACCCAGCCATCAGCTGATCGACCAAGACGAGACACCCCCCCCCAAAACACACACACACACACACACACACACACGCACAGAGACCTGCAATCACTGAGTTAAAACCACATTCCTATCTAGTGTCTCCATGCACCTATCTTGAAATAACCCTGCAGACACACACTGACTTTGGATATTTCGCTCCAGCGCAACTCGTCCACACAAGGCAGAAACACGGGATATACAGCACTGTATTTTCCGCCGCGTAAACACACTCCCTTACCGCTCGCGCAGCCAGAATCTGCCCCCCTCACCCGAGTTCATCCGCGGCTGTTAAAGGTTTCCAGGAGGTCACCCTATTGTTAGCAGGTAGTATTTGTCCAGCGGGGAGGTAAACCCCATCTTGGGCAACCCGCAAACACATTCAGACCTCGCTTTGCAACAAAAATAACCACGCGCGAAACTTACTTTCAGCCAGGACGTCAGTGGCAAATCCGCGTATTGTTTCTCCAAACCTCGTGTTTACGGCGCTCCTCTCGCTCGCTCGCTCCACTTCACAAAGACGACGCGAGAGCCCCGGAGACGGTGTGAGTGACTGACTGAATCAACTACCGTAGAGCACGGCAAGTTGAAGTGTCAGATTACACTGGCTATTCAGTTACCAGAGAGAGCAGTGCTCAGCGGTCGGTATGAAAATGCGACCTAGATTCCCGCGGAAGGACACTGAGTGTAAAGGTGTAACCGCGCGCTAATGGGCTGCTAACAGCACATTTCACACTGGAGCGGAGTGCAGCTCACAGCTCCAGCTATTGTCTGCGTCTGTATCATTACAGCGGCGTCACTTCAGCACTACCTTGTGTAATCAAAACAGTAGTTATTAGTTAATTCAACAATACTTAATTTTATAAGTGAGGTTTTTAGATATTAGGATGGAATCGTGTAAAATAAAGGAAACACATTAATAAAATATGTTTATAATATACAACAACGGCAATAGCATATTAATAACAGCATTTAAAAATATAAAATAAAAATATAGGGCTGCAAAATAATTATTTTCATTATATGAATTATTAAAACAGCCATGTTAATGTTGTGTTCATTATGTTAATGATAACAACAGTAATAATGTTAAGAAAGTCAAAAAAAACTATTTGCATTAAAATACTTAATCATACACCCAAATATACTCAATTTAATATCCTATTAGGCAACAAAAATCACCAAATCTTAACACTTGGTAAAATGTAATAAAGTGTTAATATTATATTAATAATTTAAACAATTAATCAGTTATCAAAATCGTTGCTGGTAAATTTTCTGTCAATCAACGAATCAGTAAAACCAACCTCTAAATAATATTAGCTGTTATTATTGATGGATGTAGTGTTTACTTTCCTAAAGTGGTATTATTTAATTGTTTACAAATAACTTCATTAACTAATAATACGGTTTCTATTTGCATACTACTACTACTACTACTATTACTACTAATAATAATAATAATAATAATAATAATAATAAGGACATATCTTATATATAGGAATATTGTTTGTAGTAAGTAGTAATATTGTACAGCATCCTTGTGTGTGAACCTTTGCAACATGCGCCCGCTCCAGCATGTCTGCAGGCTCCGTGTTTTGCGGATGGCCGGTCTCCGGTGGAAGCCTCAGAATAACAAAGACGTGTTTGAGAGCAGCGGCAGGCTGGGCTGAGCAGTGACGTCAAGGAACAATGTCTCCCCTCCCGACACGCACACGCACGCACACGCACGCACGCACGCCAGCACACAAGCTCTCCCCTCTCTTCCTAGTCAGGCAAGGCTGAACTGCCCCAGAGGGAGGGCCGCTCAGCTAGCAGTGCATCAGATAGAATCACTCACTCCTCAAGCTGTGCCTACACACAGGATTTCTTCAGTGTTTTTTTTTTCTCAGAAACAATAAAACAAGAACAATGGGGTGGCAGATCAGTCACTGCAAATAAACCATCATATAAAAAAAAAACCACAGCAAATGTAGGCCTGTGTGTGTTTGTGCACTTATCAAACACTTTATTTCCTGTGGCTGATAAATTTAGATACAAGATCATCTATAAAGGTGACAAGATTAGGTCTGCTGAAAGGCAATTCACAATTTCCCTTCACATAATGTCGTCAGTCCAGGGGTCAAATTCCTGTCAACAGCTCTTGGCTCAGGCTCCTGTCCTCTTTGAAGGGAAGGAAGGGGCTGCCATCCTTTTTAGCTTCCTGCCTGCAGGGCTCATGACACTGATGCAGTGAGGGCCTGAACATGGTATCAGCAGGGAGGGGTGGGGGTGGGGGTGGGGGAATGTTTGTCTCTATCACAGTGTCTCAAGGACGCCCCAGCCCCCTGGTCGAAGCAGCTATCCACACTGATGGGGGACAAATTCGGCCAGTGACACCACTGGCAATTACTCATTTTTATTTCGGGCGGGGGGAGGGGGAGGGGCAGTGGGTGGCAGTTTCTTAGACGGAGATTGGTGAGTAGTCGATATCACGGCGCTGTAGCTGTGAACTCATGATCAGATTTGTTTCTCTGGAAATGGCTCGTCCAGATGACCTATGTCTTTGATCTGACATTGCCTCTGTTGTTGATGTTTTTCACCTGCCTTGTTGCAACAGCGATATTGATGTTGACACTGATTCACACTATATGCAGGGGTTTTCCTAAAATCCTCTGGGCTTCTTGTCATCAGACAATTTAATAGGAGACAAGTATAGGTTTCTCTATTACTATTCCCCAAGAGCTTGGGATCAGTAAACTGACAGAACTATTGTTGGCTTTTGCCATTTAGGTTTCAGTCTTACCATAATACTATATGTTCTAGATCATCCATCAACTTTTTGTTTAATACCAACTTAAGGTGACAAGTCTGTTACGGGTGTAAGGGCGGGCCACAGCCGGTCAGGTCACTCTCCATTTCAAACAATGGTTTGTCTTCAGAAGTCCTCGCTTTCATAGCAAGGCGTGCGCCTCAGCCTCTCCAAAATAATATGGCCAGATGGCTGCCAACAAGATGGATGGATTATAGGTGGGGGGACTTCAGCTCGACTTGGCTCTGTGTATAATTTCATACGCACAGTATTTCAAAGAGGCTGAATGAATGCATCAAAGAGAACAAAGGGAACTCTCAATGATGCATGCTCCGACAAGGTTAATATATATTGCATTGTGTTAAATCAACGTATGAAAACTGTTTAGAGCTTAGAACATTGATGATGTACATTTCTCTGGGCCACCATGCTGTAGGGGCTTTGTGCTGGTAACAAGGCCTCTCTGTGTAGAGCCAGCAGGGCGAGTGATGGATGCTGCTGTGGCTTCATGTAGCTACATGATGGAGGGAGACTTTCAGTTGTGCTGACATCAGCTCTCCTGTTCAGACAGAGGTGTGATGGTTGTTTACAGTGCTGCCCTGCTGTCGCCACCATGAGACTCCTGCTTCTGAAAACACTGCACTGAAATACTAATAAGCACGTTTTATCATCAGAAGTACAGAACGATTGAGTTACTGATATTTTCTGACCCTGGTCAGTGACATTGCTCCTGACCAGGTCCTGCGCTGGGTATATTAAAAGGTGTTGCGCTGATATATTAAAAGGTGAATAAGGATTACTATGGTAACCATATGATTGCTATAACTGTAACTAACTAAAATGATAATAATAATAATAATAGTAACCCTCCTACAATAGATTAGCAGCAATCTTAAGCTATTTCCACCATAAATTCTGCAAATACCCTTCATCTTAATTGCACAGTGTGAGTCACTGCATTAACCTTTCATAAAGTGACCAAAGAAAGAAGAGAAATCCTATGAAGTTACCACCCACTATGTTGAATCAGTAAAAACAATTCTGCAGTGAAATTCCGCATTTCTGTATACAATGATAGGTGATTGTGTATTGTATAGCTGTGATGTAAAAGAAATCACAGCTGGAAACCTTCAGCCTTGAATAAGGCAGAAACAAGAGATTATTTTATCAATTCATCTTTTTTTTTTTTGATCAATCAAGTCCTTGTTCAGTCTATTAAATGTCTGAAAACAGGAACAAATAATTTTCCAGTATCATCTTTAAATTGCTTTTTTGTCTGACCACCGGTGGCAATTTTGCTTCATTAATGACTTAAACAACAAAGCAATTATCACATTTATTTTCAGAAAATGTTCTTTTGATTGACTAATGGCATACTCATTGAATCATTTTAGCACTAACCTTGAGTTGATGGCAACAACTCAGCATGAACGCATGTTAAATAGTCTTTTACAAATGGTTAAATGTTGCTTGAACCCATGTCGAATATCCCATAAAAAATACTATGATTTTTGGGTGTGAAAGTGATACAACTGATTGACCCGAGTGACTGACGGAAGAGGAGGCCAAACAAGGGTTAATATCCAGGGCAGTAAATGGATCATCTCCTGCAGAGAACAGGCAGAAGAGCACTATTTTAAAACAAGACAAGAGAAGTCTGGTTGAGTACACCATTGATTGTCTCTGGTTGCGAGAAGAACAAGGAACTGAGAGAGAGAGAGAGAGAGAGAGAGAGAGAGAGAGAGAAAACAGATGAAGCGACTGCTGGCTTCTGGAAGCTTGGACAGCCTTTTATAAATGCTCTCTCTCTCTCGCTCTCTCTCTCCGTCATTCTCTTCATTTCTCTTCTGTGTTTTTTTCTCAATGTATGTCGACTGAGCAGTGGCAGATAAGGCAGACAGCCGGGGCCCCATGCTGACTGGCCCGACTGGCTGTGGGGAGCACAGAGGCAATCAATGAGTGCTCACAATAGAGCGCCAGCATCCAGATAGCTAACAGCTCCCTGAGGCCATGGGAAGGAGGTGGAGAAGAGGGGGATGATATGAGGGGTTGGGGGAGCAGAGGATGGGTGAAGAGATTTTGCGCTTTAACACATTGGTGTCAGGTTTTTTCCATGCCATTGGTAGAAATAAGGAATGTGTATGAAGCACAAAACACATATTCCTTCAGGTTGTTTATGCTTACTAAAGCATGTGTAACTTGAGGTCAACGTTCAGTCCAGGAACTCTTGGCTGCATATGAAGCAGGGCTCATCAGTTATGAGATGTGAAGAGAAGAGTGGTGGTCCGATGCTTGGGGGTGATGGCTGCAGTGATAGTGCTATTTTTAGTTGGCTTCTTCTTCCTCTCATTGTTGCACGGTTTTTGCGTGTTTGCATGCATGCGTATGTATGAGCCTTTAAAAAAAAAATTATTATGCAATGCAGTATTTGACCTTGGGAAGAAAATGTGCCAGAGGGAAATAGGGAGAGAGCGGAGTGAATGTGTGACCACTTCAACCTCTGTGTCATCCTTGACTGCGCAACTAGCTACCTCACTGATCACGAGGGCTTAGAAAATTATTAATTCAGCTTATTCGGTTCCATACATACATGCACATGCTGTAGTTTACCTGCTCGTTGCCTTACACTGACTTGGGAGGTGAATTTTTTGTCGATATGTTTTTAACACACCATGTTCAGAACACAACTCATAACCTGCCATTTAAAACAGCTTTTGCTAACAATCTTTGCATTGTAACAAGGATCTTGTGACTGGAGTTAAAAGGGAAAACAGGCTGGCAGACAAGCCACCTAAGCTAGAGCCTATTTCTCAGGAT